AAGAGCTGCTTGAGGCCAGAGGCAGAGAGGAAGGCTGAAGGGACAACTGAGGACATCCAGCCAGCCCTGAAGAGCTGCGCTGGAAAAGTTTCAGCAAGTGTTCCCGTTACCTGCTCTGCATCTCCGGGAGGGAAGCTCAGCAACCTGATCCCACCTCTCCTCCTCAAAATCATAGCACTCCACGCTGCGAATGGCTTTGGGTGCTTGCCCACCCACCACGATCATCACCTGGAGAGGGAAGACAAGAGCTAGAAAACCTCGGACACCAGCCCTGGCAGCTGCTCTCTGCAAAGAAACCATCACCACAACCTGGTCAAGAACGGCTGCCAGAAACATTCTGCAGGTCTACAGAAAGCCTCTGCAGGGTGGAAAAAGTTATCTCCAGTTTAATGCATTTTAATCAGTCTCCATTAACTCTTCCTCACTGTTTCCGAGGTGGGCAACCTGCCCTATTTCCCCATGAAGCACAAAACTGTTTGACACCACGGCACACGCAAGACTTGCTGCAGAAATATTTTTAAGGGAAGAAGATCCCAGTGTTTTCCACAGCCTAGTGTTTAGTCATCATCTCCATGGTGGTGCTAAAAATAATCGATGCCACTTAGCAAATAAAACCTGACAGCTGTATTGCCACCTGCGGGGAAGATGACACTCGGGGAAATCACCAGGACCATGAAGAGGTGGGGTGCTGGGCTGCCGAAAGAAGTGATTTGCCAGCTTCATTAAGGCTTTTGGCTGCAACACGTATTGATGCAAACCCAGTAACTAAATTCCTTACGGATAGGGAAGATCTATGTGAAGGCGACCAAGGGCAATCAAGAGTGCAAGAATTGCTCTGCCAGGTCAGGCTAAGGGTCCGTCCAGCCCCCGACTCCATTCCCAGCAACAGCAAGTGGTGGATGCTGGTGGAAAAGTGAGAAGACCTGGACGGTGTGCAGTGAGATCCTTCCCAAATCTGGCCTGTCTGCCGCCAGAAGACAAACTCTCCCTGGCCTCGCTGACTTTCCCGGGGGCAACAGTCCCAGGAGCTGGCAGCTCAGCGCTCAAGGGTGCTCCTGAGCCTCTGCTGGGCCCTGCAGAACCACCAACACTGCACGGGCAGCACCCAAACCACCTGCAGCTACAGCCAGCTCGACCTGCACTTTGTTCTGAACACATTTCCTTCGACCCTCCGCAGCTCTCAAGAGGCAGGATTTGCTCCCCTTATCACAGCAAGTCAGGAGGAGCAAACACTGCCCCAGATAAACTGATTTTTACAAGGCCAAGGAGCTAGAAGCAAGAAAATGGGGCTTCAAATACAAAGAGTAGATGGGAAACTGGCTTCAGGCCTGCAAGGCGGCTGTGAGCAGCTGAGGAGATAAGATCAGCACTCGCGGTCACTTGGGTAATGAGCTGAACTCCAACCACGGTTGCTTTAAAAGTACAGAGCTAGACAGCAATTTAAAGAATTTGAAGAGTATGAAAAATAGTGGCCTGTTTGATCTACAAAGATGAGAATGTGACATTAGAAAGCAAACAGTCTAAATGAGCAGCCTGACTACTGGTTGTCTAACAGTCTTCCGTGGAGAGAAGAGCTTCACACGATTACAGAATTAAGAGATTTCACAGCAGACTGTAAACCCTCATCAGCGGGACCAACAGATCAGATGAAAGTTTCTCAGTAACAGGATTGCTGGACGATCATCACCTTCTCCCTTTTCCTTAGAGTTAAAAAGAAGGGAGGAGAGACCTGCAGATTTATACTCACAGGTCATGCCATAGAAGATATTGGGAACCTCTGAACTCACTTACTGTTCATTTTATCCTTAACTATAGTCCTTGAACAAGGGTCACATCAGCCCTTCATGATACCCCCCAGAGCTACTGTTCTACCAACTTCGCCTCAGCACCAGCAGGAGGAAAGGACACAACACGTCAACACGCTCCACAGAACCACAACTTCTCAACGGACAGTTCAACATCTAAACATCTGAATAGTCCCTCATAGCACAGATCTCATGCACTGTCCCACAAACCAGGCTCCCTATGATTTGTGCTTAGAAAAATAATATACTGGGTTTCGATGTCTCACAATCTCCGAAATGCTTATTAATAACCTCAGCGACAGGCTGTTGAGAGAGACTGTGCCAAAACTCGGTTTATCTCTGGGGCATAGGGAAAATAGTTCCTGTTGTCATTTTTTTCTTCACTAATAAAGTGGTGGCCAGAGCACCGCACGCCTGCAGGGTGATGTGAGGAGTAACAACGATTATTATTATTATTATTATAGCTGCTTTGAGTCTATTGAAATTTGCTTCAGACTTCCTGCCCGCGGGTCTGGGTGCTGTTGTTTCCTCCTTTCCCAGCTTCTGATTATGGATACAGGAAAAGGAAAGACACCCGCTGTGACCCTCCTCAGCAGGGCTCCAGCACAGCGCTCCAAGCCAGCAGAAGCCTTGGCCAGCCCTCCGAGCAGCCACGGCCGCTCCCGCGTCAGCAATTCTCACACCGTAGCTCCAGGAGCAACAGCCGTTCACAAAACCACTTGTGGCTGACAAAATGTTTTAAGAACAGACTCTCGTCCCTGGGAGCAGAGATATTGCTTCTCCTAAGGGTTTATTTCAGTTTATCCAACTTTATGATGTACTTGATGGACATAGGCAATACCAGAAGAGGGAGTCACACACTTCAAAGGACGATCATGGAGTTAATAAGAAGTAACGTGGCAAGTACACAAGCTCCTTTCAAAGACAGAAAATGCCACCAGCAATACGGTGTGAGGTGACACGAAGTGACAAACTCAGCATACCTTTGGCAGGCTAACTGGAGTCCTCGGCTTTGTTCTGGGATTCTTTATCAGTTGCCTTTGATCCAGAGGAAGCAAATGGTATTTCATGGCCTCGATCAGGAAGTCTTTACAGGTGTTGTTATTCTTGATTAAAGCTTCTTCTTCAACTGTCTGAGAACACACATGCAGGAAAGGTCATTTAAACCGAAGTACTTGGTGGCACAGGTCACAAGGAGCTTTGTAGAAAGAACATGAAACCTGGAATTTCTCTTCCAAAGAACCAACATTAAACGAAAAAAAATGCAGAAGACAGACACAGACTTCCAGCCTCTTCCCAAAGCAACACATGCAGTAACATCCCAGCCCCTCACTTTCTTCCAGGATCACTCAAGAGCAGCAGTGCTCCCTCTATTTGCTACCCTCTGCCAGACACTCCAGTAGAGAATTCACCAGGAGTCTGGGTACAAAATCACTAATTTCTTTCATTCAAGACAGATTTTTTTTAAAGAGAGGCAATATCTTTTACTCAATCAGAATATATAGTTGGGAGGAAAAAAAATACATCTTGTGAACACCAACTGAATATCAATTGTATTGATTTTTTTTTAGACACATAATAAAAGCACAGTAGTCAAAGAGCCCATGTAGCAACCCCTTCCTTTGGGGATTCTGGGCTCATTATCAGGGCTCAAGTCCCAGGAATTAACTCATTGAGAACAATCTCTGTCAGAGTGCATCTCACCTGCCCATCACACAGACCCATCTCTGTGTGCAGAACACATCCTAAGCTAAAGTTATCACACATGAAATGTTTTCACCAAGCTAAACTTACCTGCGCACTAGGAAAAAAAAAAACCACACACAAGCCTGTAACACCACCTGGGTATTTTCAGGGTGAAAAGTCCCAAGATATTCCCTTCTAAATGCTTCCACCAAGAGGGCTAGGAGCCCTGCTCTCAGCACTGCCAAAGTCACGTTTACAAGAAGGTTTCTGCACACACACACTCATTTCAGAGTCCACCCAGTCTTTCCTTTTATTTCTCTGTTTACAGACCCAGTGACATGCCAAATTACCCATCTCAGACACAAACAGGCAAGCCACTAAGGAGCTCCCAGCAGCTTAAGTTTAAGTATCAATCACTTATTTGCAGACTAACCTGTACAAGGTAATCTCTGGGCAAGAGGGGCAGGCGAACGTGCTCCATCAGTTTAGCCATGTGCTCCAGGCGAGATTCCTTCTCATAATTTATCCAAGAAATAACTGCTTCAAAAACCTGCACAGATAAAGGTACAATTAAACGGTGAAGAGAGAACTGGCTTGCACAGTCACCTACCCAAAATCAGCAGCACTGTGATTTTATCATATTGAAGGAAGGAGGTGCAAGATCTCTATCAAACAGATGAAAAAGTCGTGGCTCTGCACAAAGCACGAGCACCACGGCAGCGAAGAGGTGAGCTGACCATGCATATTAACGAGCAATTTCACATCTAGATGTGCTGTATCACTCTCGAAGCTAAGTGTGTGTCCAGGACAATCACACACCTCTCGGACATTAGTACTGGAAGGCAGCCAGGAAACTTAATTAGCCTGCTGACATTTGCACTGGGCATTATTCATGAAATCAGCCACAACAATTACTCCTGATAACAGAGATCGCCCCTCCCAAAGGACTCCGGCCACACCATAAGTCACTACGTTCACCATCATATTTAATCACTGTCCCCCAACCCAAGAATTCTTCAGGACAAGGTCACCACACGTGCAGGAAAAACCCCTGACTGCAGCCACGCAGGCATTTCCCTGCTAAAAATACCCAGATACTTCTGCAGGAAAACAAGGGTATGCTGGACTTCTGGTCTGAACCAAAATCCAGCTTTAGTCCCAGATCCAACCGGTTCAGATAAGCATCCAAACTTTGACTCCATGACGAAATGGGCACAAACAAGCCCGTGCAGGAGGAGCCACACAGAGCCCTGCGCGCTGAACAGATGCGGGCAGAAGCATCCTACAAGGGCTCCTGGCATGAATATGCATCTGCTTATATAACCAGCAGCCACACTCCTCCCAGAAGAAAGACCTAAAAATGTCACCAGGAGTGGGACAGGATTCCTGAAACACGCAGCAAGGCAAGGAGAGGGGCTGGTGCAGCCTCAGATGCAGGATCTGGCTCCTCACAGTGGAGTTTCCCCACAGAGTCAGAATTAAATTCTGACCCTTAACTCACATCTCCAGGAAAAATTCCCCAAGTACTCTCGCTACCCAGCTGCTTGCGGGCAGCTGAGCACAGCCATCTCCCGCAGATCCCAGCCATCCTGTGCCTCCTCCGAAAAGCATTGCTGGCCCTTCACCCCAGCACAAGCCCTTAGCTTCAGCCTCCCTCCGAGATCACCAAATGGTCAGGCCAATTTGCACATCTAATTTTCTTTCTTCTCGTCTCTCTCACCACTCCCCAAGAAACCATTTTGTTTGGTCCAAGGTCACTAATTTGACAAAATCAACCAGAACCGAGGGCACCATCCCTTGGTCCCCAACTGTTGCTGGCAGATGGATTTGCAGGATGCACTGGCAGAGGCAGAACAAAAAGGGGTTCCCTCCTCTTAGGCTAAACTCCATACTTAAAAAAAGCAGCAAAGCACCAGCCTCATTTCCTATGCCAACAAACGCTCTCGCTGAACTGTTTGGAATTCAGAACCCTGCGATGAGGATTGAAGCAATGCAACAGGGAGCCATGTCATCAAACCCCAGCAAACGCAGAGGAAAATAGCTACTGCAGAACCTCAAAGTATTTTTAAATGAAAATAAGTAAACAAACAAAATTTCACTTTGGCTACAAGGTCTTTAAAGTGGAAACTAGGTTGTTGTGGGATTTTTAATTGCAAATGAGTGGGGAAGGAGCATGAAGCAAATATTTAGCCAACAAACATGCTTTTCATTAACCTCTTCTGGAAAAACGCTGAGCTACAGAGCAGGTCACAAGACTGGCACACACCCAGCTCCAGCCCAAGATGACAGTGACCAAGTCTAAAAGGCAGGTGAAGCAAACATGCACGAGGATAAACTGCTGCATCGGTGCTGGAGACCGCTCCAGAGTTAAGCACACACTGATGCCACCCTTCTGTGCCCACTCTAAAAATAATACAAATTTTTCAAAAATCAGATTCTGGCACCTTCCATTGTCTCCAATTCCTAATTTTATGAAAGGGGGGAAAACAAATCTTAATCCAAGGCAGTACTATGTCTATTTAAAGGCCACATCTGCTCCCACTGCAGCCATGCCCTCCCTCCACACCCTGTGCCCGCCGCAGACCCCAGCAGCTGCTGCCGCTCCCCCCAGAGATGGGATTTTTCCAGCCATACAAGACCCGCTGCTGGGGCGCGATGGAACGAAGTGTTACCCACCCAGCACCCACCCAGCTTCATTTAGGGTAGAAGCATGGGCTGGTTAGCGGCTCACACCTGCCCGGCTGTAGGAGCAGTCCCAAGCTTGGGAGAAGCAGATTTCCCACTCTGTGGAACAGAAGGGTAAAAGCCTGGAATATCCCCTTTCTGCACAATACCTAGGCAAAGAGCAAGCCCAGATGTTTTCCCAGTCTCTTCAGCCAAAAATCCAGTTGTTCTTTACTCCCAGGAGTGAGGATCAAACTGTGCATCAGCTTCTACTGCATGTTAGCAGCATGAGACAATGAACTCATTACTGGACTCTCTGTAAAATCCCCAAACCAAAAATCCCATCCCTTTAAAAAATTTATTTTGTCACTATTCTGAGTTGGCAGGAGCCCTTTTCTCAAGGGCTGTAAGACACTGATCCCGTATCATTAATAAATATGAATAAAGATTTTTTTTTAATAGTTTTTCCTTGCTTGCATACACTGTTTTAATTAAAGAGACAACTATGTGAGGTACAGAAAGCACTGATAAAACTCTCTCCAAAGTACTCAGCTACAGCAAAAAGAGCAGGCAGGGACCAAAATAAACCTTTGCCCTAGGCCAAAAGGGCCGGTGCAACAGCAGAGGGTGGCAACAGCATGGGGGAGAGGGAGAGAAAGGAGGATCATCTTTGAACAACGGGAAAATGTCACTGTTTCACAATTAAAATATCTTCCTGTGGTAGCAGACAACTTTTGCAGTCCTGATGGCCTGGCGATATATCCCTCCACCCCTCATCAGGAGTCCCTCCCCATCTCTCCTGTAGCCCCCTTTCAGCACTGGAAGGTGTCCCCGGAGCCTTCTCTTCTCCAGGCTGAACAACGCCAGCTCTCCCAGCCTGTCCTCATACGGAAGGTGCCCCAGCTCTCAGACCATCTTCGTGGCTCTAGATATAGACACAGACATATATATACTTCTATCTATATATACTTATTTTTTTTAATAATATATATCTCATACATTAGCAGATAGGAAGAAGAAGGTCAGGAAAACTGCATGTCTGTCATGAAGCTAATAGAAAACAGCAGCCCATGGGTCTGTCCTGAATTTTCAGCACTTCTTTGGACTCCAGCACATATTTCATGTTTATGTTCCAATCCCCCTCTGCCTCTCTCCTGTTATTCCGATCTGCTGTTTTGAACGTGCAGCTTATGCTTAACATTTCCTTCCACTGCCTTGCATTCTCAACTTTTACAATCGGCTAAAGAAATACTGGTTTTGATTGTCCAAAGCTCAGATGAGGGAGGGAGCACTTTGATTTCTCTGGGCACAAGGCCAATAAAAGCTTTTTAACAATGCTGCACAAAACTGGAAAAATTGGTTCCTAAACCTGCACTTCCCTTTGCAGACTGCTTGGCTCAAGCACGGCGATTCTGCCGCAAGTTCACGCCTTTTGTTTTTTCCCTTTTTGGCCCTGCCTGCCTGGCACCGAGCAGCACCCCGCCGAGACGCCCACGCTAGCCCCACGCCTGCGGAAACGCGCTCCCGAAGCCTCCGAGTTTGCTGGCTCAGGATCTGAATGAAGCATCGCTGCGTTCGCACCTCACGTGGTGCGGGTCTGCCGGCAAGCTTTGCGGTCCGGATGGGCTCAAGCACACACGTCTGCAACCCGAAGGGGCTGAGTGGGATGGGTGCGCACATCTGGACACAAAGTCTCACCAGCAGCAGCAAACACAACCTGGTCCAGCACCATCCCACCAAAACCCCCATCCACCAGCAGCAAAGATGGGGAGGCACTCTATCAGGGAGTGTAGCGACAGGACAAGGGGTAATGGTTTTAAAGCTGAAAGAGGGGAGATTTAGATTAGATATTAGGAGGAAGTTTTTTCCTATGAGGGTGGTGAGGCAGTGGCCCAGGGTGCCCAGAGAAGCTGTGGATGCCCCATCCCTGGAGGGGTTCAAGGCCAGGCTGGATGAGGCTTTGGGCAACCTGGGCTGGTGGGAGGTGTCCCTGCCCATGGCAGGGGGTGGGACTGGAGGGGCTTTAAGGTTCCTTCCACCCCAAATCATTTTATAATTCTACAAAAATGTAGGCATTGAAGAGAGGTTATGAAGTTACGAGCCACATAATCCTCAAGCTCTCCTGTAGCCTCCCAGAAGTGTTCATCTCCCCGCAGCAACAATTTGGAGGTGAGCTGAAGGACTCGAGGCACATACCTCTCCCCAGAACCCTGCTGCAGATCACACAAGCATCCTACCCCAGAGAAAGGGGCAGGTCCTGGTGTTCACCAAGTACTGTAACCACTGGTCACCCTCTTTCTCAGGACTACAGACTACCCAAAGCATGTTGAGCATTTCAACCACAAAACAACATCAATCTTTTTTCCCCTCTTCCCTTAAAAACACTGATAACGCTAGAAAAATGTTTCTTTCCTTCCTGGTTGGTTGTGGGCCTCCTTTACTTGTTCTGTCCAACGTGCAACAGAAGCCAATACTCCTCACTGGCCTAATGAAAGTCACCTTTTTTCGAGGTTTTATGGCAGGTAATAAGAGCTTTACACCAACAGCAGATGGGAGGGTCCTAGTTTTCCAGAGAGGGAAGGTATTCGGTTTTGTCCCCCAGGGCTTTTGGAAGAGATACGGATCTGAGAAATCATTACTCCCTACAAAGAACAACCAAGTGAATGTTATTTTTAGGATTTGCATTATTTTTAATTTTCCTTTCCATGTGATCTGTGTTGGAAAATGGCCCCTAAAGATCATAACATGAGAACAGTTCCCAATGCAAGATCTAGAAACATCCCAGCATTCTTACATGCACTGTTGCTATACAATTTACTGTACCTTTTCTTCAGAGGAGACTGTGAGCTTGTCACTTGATATTAAACTGCAAACCTGGTCCAGACTAAGGCTAAGAAATTCTTCTCCTAGCATCACCTCAGGGAAGTGCTGCTCTGTTCAACAAATGAAAAGGGGGAACAGAAAATTATAATGAAATCCATGCTTTAAGTCAGTGGAAGGTCGACAGCATTCAGAGAACCGCTATTATGACAGCTTTGAGCATCCCAGACAACACTCTGTGACTGCACGGCGGAACAGAAACAGAAAATAGTCTCAGAGCAGGTTAAAGAAATGTGATGTTATTTCAGGTAACGCTAGCCCCATGAGACACTTTCATAAATGACACTAAATGGGAACTTAACTTTCTGCAAAGCCATTAAGTACCTTCCAGTGGCACATACGATTAGAAGTGGCAATTGAGAAAAGTGCCAATGCCTTTCCGAAGGAGTAAATAACCTGGACACCTCACGATTCAGTTCTTGACCACTTCAACAAGCTAGACAGAATCAGGTCTGCTCAACATCTGGATGAGAGACTGCAAGGGTCCCTACTATTTGTAGGTATTCAAAGGAAAGCCCATTTTTGACACGAATCAGCCAAACAGTCAGTTTGGTGCACACACCCAGCAGCAAACAGTGAGGGACCCCAGAGCATCCAGCTGCATCTGGATGTGCGAGGGGGCACACAGAGATGGGCAAGGGGGAGACCCCCGTCCCATGCATGCAGGTGGGATCAGCTCTCCTCTCCTTCCACCTTTTACTTCTTCCCCCAGATGTGTACATTTAACCTTTCTCCTGCTCCAAACCCCCAGCACTCATCTTCCCTGGCAGCCTTGCCCCTTTCCACTTAAGTCCGAGACTGTACAGATTTCTTTTTCTCCCTTTTCACCTCCAAGCTGTAACTTTGGGAGTCACTTGAAAACAAAATATGCATCACTGCTTATAATCCCAAACTGGAAGAATTATGACTGATTACAATACAGGTCTAGAAAGGATCATCAAATCTGTCAGGCTTTACATCTAGCCAGAGGGCACTAGGAAAGAATTACTTCTTAAGAAATAATTTCTAGGTCAAAACCATTGTTAGCCAGATGCAGAAAGTTTCAGTTTTGCAAGTATTTGTTACATATACATGCCGATTTAATCTCACCTGCCATTTGCTAAGTCCCATTTATCTTTGGCTGAAACACAGAAATATAAATCTCAAACACTGTCTGAAGCAGCTCTTTTCAAGCCCTAATCCCTTTAGGTTTGAGAAACTCAGACTCACATCTCAAAGAGCTCCCTCCGGAGCAAGATCTGCCTCTCGTTTTCCCCTCTGCAAAGTACTTTGCGTGACAAAAAGCAGCACCCCAGGGACACAAGCTGGTGTAACTTCCAGAGAGGAGCATCTTGGACATCACACCTGATGAACTCCTCGCTGATCTGGTGCTGCAGAGGGCTTGGGCTTCCCCAACCACGGACCCTACTAGGTCTAATGGGGACCACAACACCAGAGCTAAGCCAAAGGCTCTGTCTCAAAACAGCAGTATCTGGATAAACTTTAATAGCCTGTTATGCTGGAAATCATATATAAGATCTAATGAACTCTTCTGGCCTTAAATGCTTGAGAAGCAGGAAACGCTCCCACACAGTACGCTGGATGCACTCTGACTCCTGGACACAATCTCTATTCATTCTGGACCGGCGTCTGGCAGTAGAAAGATATTTGATCCTTGTTATTTGTTGGAAGCAGGTAAAAATATTTACTGATTTCAATAAAGGAACGTGTGCCTGCATCAGGAAGGCTCCTCCACCTACTCAAGTTATCCATTGGCCAGAACGAAGCATTTCTCAAGTAACTGAGCTCATGCACGCATGGACTCTTGAGCTTGGGGACTTCTGTCTTGGTTTAACACTGTTACATAAACAACACAGTGAAAAGAATTTTAATGGCATTTTTATTGATGGAGTTCCATTAACGTTACATGGGCTGTTGTACTAACTGGGACTTATAAAGGCCAATAAAACAACAAAGCAGACTTTTTAATTGCCAAACAACCAAATAAATGTACAGTGAATGCACTGCTTGTCGGGTTAAAGATTAAACAGGGCCTGGAAGCAAGGATAATGAGATATTACAAGCAAACCTTTATACAATTAACCATTCCTTCCAGGGTACCTTTTCCTCCAGGGGATAATACAGCCAGAGCAGCTGAAAAGGTTTTACTTTTATTTGCAGGAGAATAGAGGAGGACTTGGTGGACACATTTTTATTCCACTGAGCCTACTTATGGTCCAATTAAGGACAAAAACACACCAAAGAAAATGATGCAGGACAGAGCAGGTGCTCTGGGAGACGGCAGGTGTATTTTTCCCCTATAGAAATGGACAGAAAAACAGACTGAGCAGAGCAAACTACCAGCTTCTCCCAAGCAGCAGTCAAGGGCAACTCTGCCGGAGGAGACTGGAAAGCACTGGGGAGTTAAGAGTATGGAGCCGCTCGGAACAGCTTTACATTTACGACATAGAACAGAAATGCCAAAAGCCATTGCCTGCACCTACTTATTGCAATTAAACACATCCACTCTCAAGGAAACGAGAGTCTAGCCACCCTTGGGGTAAGCGGCCATTGCTCCACGGATCAGAGGCTCAAACTGTGTGAGTTTCAGCCGAGCGTTCCCACTCCCAGCCACAAGATTTAATTCTGCCTGGTGACATTTATTGCTAGAATGCACAAATCCCCAGCATTGCCTACTGCTCTCATGGGGCAGCGTACATGGCAAGGACACCAGCACGCCAACACCGTGCTGTTGAGCAGGCAGCCAAAGAGCTTACTAGGAACATACTGAGGAACTATTTTGTGGGCTGGGATCCAGGGGATCAGGTTTTTTAACTCCTTAGGTGTTCCCCTGCGACCATACCACATTTCACAATTTGCAGCGTCACAGAAAGTTACACATCTACAACCCAATGAAGCACTCCCTCCCCTGTTCTCATACTAGGGGCATGAAGAGACCAACCAGGACATGCTGATCTTGTTCAACCTACAAGTCGCTGTACCTGGAAGCAGGTTTAACTCGACAAACGGACAAGCCTTCCCTCACCTGCGTAGGCATTTGCCTGCTGCAGCAGTTCGGTACACGCGTGCACGTCGGCAAAAGCTCGGATACCAAGGCAGTTTGTGGGATGCAGCTGGGACTGAAGAAAGTCACAGCAGTTTTTTCTAACATCCATCAATTGCAATAAGCTAGCAGCTGGCAAGAAAACCTGCAAAGGCAAGAAAGGAGAATTAGAGTTAGCAACAAAGAAAGCTGGATTCACAGCTTGCACAAATTAGATGCAATTTCCCTTCAGACAGGAACGCATCCCTGTGGGGTACCAGAAGGAAGGTTAAAGTTTTAGCACCATCTGTATGCAGAAGATCTCAGAGATGGAAACAGCTATCCCATGCTGTGCTAAAAGCAGAGCTCTCCTCACATCTTCTCCCCCCAAGAGCTCAAGGCAGGCAAAGAGAGGACAAAACACAAGCAACCACGGATGTACCTGAATTTCTGGCTTTGCTGCAGGTAGGTCCTGCACAGATTTTTTTTTTTCCCCTGAAGAGCTTTATATTATTTCTATGCATTACCATCATATTCAAAGCCCACAGCAGCCCAGCACTCCTCAAAACCTTGAACTTTCTTATTCCAACATAACCATATTGGCTTGTGAGCAGGTTGTCCAAGCTGCCGTGTAAAAGAGGGAGCTCACAGAAGCTCAAGCAGGTTTTGGTGACAGGAAGGCTCTCCGGAAAGATGGGGCCAACTGTTCAACCCAACAGCCTTCAATTTCACCCACAAAATGCTGTGGACACTTGTGGTTCATGACTGTATCTGAAAATGAGGTACTGCTTCGTATCTACAAAACTAAGAGCAGAAAAGGGAGACAGAAGTGGATCAGGAATGTGACATCTGCTGGAAAAAACACCTTTGAGGCCAGTGAGCGGGACAGGAAGTAGAAAATAAAGTTGGTCAGGATGTGACAGCCCATGACATCAGCTACTTCCTTTCTTATGTCGTACAGCAACTGCAGACGTGTCTTACCCCAGCTCTTGGCTAGCTCTGGCTGCTTCACACATGTCCTTCCACCTGGGCATCTGTGCTCACCATCTGACCACAGATTTCCGGAAAATTATTTCCGACTCAAAAAAACAAGCAGCATTTAAACAAAACAAATAGGTTAACAGCATTCACCTCTCTGGATCTCAATGGCAGGGAAGGGAAAAAGATGTCCCCTCCCCATCTCTGCCTGCGCTGCCCCCACAGTCCCATTCCACATCAGGGCAGCACACTCTCGACCTGCCCCAGGTCTTTTCTA